TAGCACGTCTTGCTGAGTAAAATTTTTATCCTGCTTGCTGGAACTGGACTACGATATTTTCCTTAACTAAAAAGAATCATGATTTCTCTTGATCAGAAATCAATGAGTTCTCATTGCGTATCACAGTTTTTTATTGCTAAAAAAAATAATAGTGCTGCACCCTGTTGGTAAATCTTATAAATTTTTAATGCTTTTGCATATCATAGAACCATCTCTTTTAGTTGACACAGCTGGCAAAATTTGTTAATTCCCTTTAAAAATATGAATACTCATAAAATTAACATGGGGAACTGCAGAGCCACTGGGGCGGAGCCCGAAAGGACTTTTGGGATAGGAATATGCCTATATGTTAATCGGGAATGTGAGCTATCATCATGCCAAATTTCAGCCCAATCCGACCAGTACTTTCCGCGTTTACTTGTCACAAACATACATACATACATACATCCAAATTTTTTCATTTATAATATTAGTAGGATTTAAAATTTCCTATCAAACGACACCAAGTTCAAAAATATTGAATACAAAATAACTTAAATATCACAATTTTGAGTTGTAAAATGAGAGAGAGCTAAGATAGTCATGTTTGCCTCATTTTACGACTCAAACAAATTAAATTGCCACCATTTTGAAATTTTGAATTGGATCAAGGTACAGTAATTTTTTTCTAAGACGGGTCTTTTCTACCAATAACATACATAACACGTTTCATAAAGATCTGTGACGGGTATAACCAATTTTATTGTCTAAATCTCGGGATTAATTTTCATAAGTAAAATACCTAGTAAATGGATTTTACAATTCATATACTAGTGTCGGAACATTGGCATTTAGTAGACAGAATTCTTGATACCCTGAACCTGTAACCTACTTAATCAATCAAACCATTGAACCCGTAGACTCAGCTTTAGTTAGACCGAAAAGAAGACCAGATTGTCTCAGGAGATACTTTGCCTGTCACCTTTATTAATATTCATTTTACAAAAATTAGATTGTCCTGGTTAGCTAACATTTACAAGTCAGTGATTGATTTATATTAATCCTAATAATTTCTTATCATAATTCTTTTAATTGTAATTTTTGTTAAATAACAATAGTTATTATTAAAAATTCATGTTTTGTGATTAGAACTTGTCAACAAGAATTATAATGATTAGAGCGTTGTAAATTAAACTGATTTGCTTACTTATGTGAAAAGAGCATGTATTCATTTTATAATGAATTTTATTTCTAACTAGCTGCTGTACCCGTGCTTCGGGACGGAGAGGACAATAAAGATAAAAATTTATCTGTAGTTTTGCAAAGTGTTTTCTTTTTTTTAAATCTTTAATAGCTTAGGCAGGATCTTCCATCAAAGTTGGGGTTTTCTCCCATAAGATTAACCTGGGGGAATCTAAATATTTAATTGGAGACTTTGCCTCTACTAATTAGAGAGAACGGATGGGCGAAGAAACTTGGTAGATTAAGTTTTGGTAGGAGAGAGCTTGTAAAAACAGAATCGTAAAACAGTGGTTTGACTCCAATTTATTAAATCCGAACCCCAATAAAACTGAATTGCTAAGTTTTTCAGTCCATGGCAACCCACACACAACTATCCTTTTAGACAACGTGGAAAATGAGTCAACAGAAGGCGTCAAGTTCCTGGGTTTAATTAAGACAAACACCTAAGTTTTTATGACCATATCGACAGTGTGTGTACGAGGGTTGGTTCCGGCATCTTTCTTTTAAAACAATTGTCAAATTTTTCTGATCAGAACGTCCTTATGACCGCCTATTATGAGGTCATTTTCCCTCATTTAGTATACGCAGTGCCGGCATGGGGATGTGAGAATGGAAGGACCAGATTTCTATTTCGACTTCAAAAGAGAGCAATTCGAACCATCTTTAAAATCAGCTCACGAACTTCATGCAAAGATTTCTTTCAGTCTTCAAATATTTTAACTTTGCCATGCATATACATCCTTGAAACACTCTCTTCAAGTTCCAGATCATGTCCATATTCTTTGCGAAACAGTCTTAATCTTCAGATACCAAAACATTCAACCACCTTTTTCAAAAAACATCTTTATTATAACGGTATACTGCTTTTCAATGCATTGCCAACACATATAAAAATTGAGTCGAACCCTGTTATTTTTAAAAAATCACTTCGAAAATTACTGGTGACCAAGTGTTACTACCGTGTCCGTGATTTTATTGGTGATGGGTAGTCATGGGGGTACTTTGGTATTATACGGAGGCCACTTATTTTACAGCGCGCTGCGGTGGTTATGTTGTGTTGGGTTATCATAAATATGTTTGTAGGACTTTCCTCGTTTCGTTATGAATCGAACGATACCAGATGAGTCATACTTTCTATTTATGATAACCCAACCTAACATAACCGCCGCAGCGCGCTGTAAAATAAGTGGCCTCCGTATAATACCTAAGTACCGTCATAGGCATATGGTATGCTTGGTTCATGAATTGATTACATGTAAAAATTGTTTATTTTAGTAGTTTTTTTTATAGTTTATAAGACACTGTATTTTTATAATGTACCTATATTGACTTACCCAATGCATTAACGTAAATCTGGCCAAATAAATGACTTATGACTTAAATAAAATATATAAAGTATTTGAGAGATTTGATGGGAACTATTTCCCCCTATATCGAGTAATCTTCAGTGCAGTCTTTGCTCAATAGTAACAACTGATGTTTTCCCTTTGTACTGTATTTTGTAATTTGCTATTATACTGTGGATGGCTTGCTATAAACACAAGTTACTCTACAAGTCTTTTATTTACTACTAGCTGATGTATCCGTGCTTCGCAACGGGAAGATGTACTATATCACCTAATCCAAACACTTGTTAAGTAGTTCGAATTTATAAACGAAAAGCCATTCAATTTATACAAAAAAAATAACCTAAATTGTAGTCCAACTGAAAATATGAAAATATATCAATAACATTATTTTCATAACTTACGGTTATAGAATCTTTTTTCCATAACCAATGACAAAGTTTCAGAATAAATAAACCTACCACATAGTCGTGTAAAATATTGTACTTAACTTGTTTGGATCAGCTGTATGAAGTTGTGAAATAAGCATTTGGCAGTTCTGGTTGTTTACATTGAAATGTCAACGTAAAGGTAAACATTGTGAATTTTCTCATGCTTCCATGGAGACCAATTATTAACAACAGCTGGAGTTTCGTAACAATATTTGTTTCCCATGTTAATCTTATGGAGAAATACGAAACTTGAAAGGGCCCCAGGGCCCAACTCTCTAATTATTTCCCTAAAAAGAAAGTTTCGTGCACAACTTCACGTTACGCTCTTTCCAATGACACCAAAAACATGCCAATTGGCTCAGTAGTTTCGGAGGAGTAATTGTCACAAAAAATCTGCTTGCGATTTAAATAAGTAAATAAATAGATTTACTTTTTCTTTGTAATTTTTTCAACCAACATAGGTACTTGGCAACCTATAGGGCCAATGCTAAAAATTTTGTCGTTCAATTCCACTTTTTACGTAGTTAGATTTTTGTTGGCAGTCTTAACTGCATTAAACACGTTTTAGGATAGACATAAATTATTTACAACATTTGAAGGAAATCATCGAAGCCGTTTGAGATCTTTGTGCAAGCGCAAGTAACCATACGATATTGCATACATACAAGCAAACAATTGAAGATTATAATTTTATGTAATAGGATTGGATGACAGAAATGAGAATTTACACTGTAGAGCACACTATGAGTGGCACATTAAACTGTGACATTTTAAAAATTAAAAAAGCCAGCTATAAAACCAAATGACATTGTACTGAAAGAATCTTAAAATATGATAGTGTCGCACCTCTTAAACATTAAAATTATTAAGCTCATATAAAGCTTAAACCCAAAACTAAAATTGTGGCTTTGATATTTCCTTCATTTAAAAATTATTTATCGTTCAACACCAAAATCGTGAAAATCCGTCAAGTGGTTAGTTCAGAATATTTGGGTAAAAAACCATCTCACGTTTATATAAAAGATAAGTAATGTTAATGTGGTTTGTTTTAATTTTATAGAACAAATAATATATCCTGTCCTAGTTTTAAAATAACATAAATTGCATATTTCAAATTTCCAAATAGATACAAAACAGCAGTGTGTGCTGCCTGTGTCTCAAAACACTGTCAAAATTCGGTTAGAATTTTCTCATTCTCATTTTTGTTTGAAGTATTGCTACTGGGAACAATTATAACTTTTGAGTTAGATAATAGGAGGAACCCTCAAACACATGAGATACTTCTGTTTGTAATCACACAGATTATTCTGCCACTGCCACAATATTCAGCAGAAGTAAAATCGCAAAGCTATTTTTACCCATTTCTACCACGGGGTTGGTTTTTAATGGTCGTAGCAAAGGAACAGCTGATCTTAGTCAATAAGGAAACTTTCTTTATACTTGGGTGAAAATCTACAAAAAAAAACTATCCATTTGAGTCCCCTATATAAATTATTGGTAGCAGGAAATTGTAATAATATCAGCCATAAAAAGCTATTCGTTGAGTACATTACACAAAGAATATCTCCGTAAGATTTTGCAGTTTTAGAAACCTCTTATGTCGCACGACCATCAATGTTTATCTAAATTGCCAGGCCATCAAATCGCCTCTTTGACAAGGGGGTAATAACATACGTTACCAATCAGACCATCACACCTAGAGAGGTTTGTTTTGGAGGAGTACACAAAGAATCTTCGGAAGATTTTGTAATTTTTGAACTCCCTAGTGACCCGTCCATCATCACGAGCCTCTGCTGGTCCCCGGGTGACGATGAAGCCTGTCCAGGGTAGGTTACTGTCCCGGTGGCTGCCCAGCGCCTGGGGGGCCGACACTAGACACGCGTTTTCCGACTTTATGGACCGGTTAGGGAAAGTTATTTTCTATTCTCGGGGGTTTTATTGTGAGGGGCGGGCGACGACGCTGGTTGGTCGGCTCGCGGGGGAGGGGCCTAGCTACTGTTCAATTCCCACGCTAGCAGCGGTGGTGGGGACGGGGCCGTCGGTCCATCTACATCTTCAGAAGCCCTCATCCAGCTCTGACGGAAGCTCTTTTACACCACCCTCAGGTACGCTGCCCTTTCCCTAGCTAGGCTACCACACTGCAACTCTGGTTCCGCACTGTGATTTTCACTTCTTGTCATTTGTTCGAGGAAACTGTTGCCATAGTTCCTAGGTTACAGATGGTTCGGTCTGTTTTGTGTTTTGTTGATTTATTTGGTTACGTCAACGAGTTTTCAGGTAGATAATTACTGTATAATGTGCTAGTTTAGTAAGTTAGTGTATAGGCTATGTGAATATTCTGTTTTAAACAGACTAAAACTAAGTATATGGCTAATAATGCACCTTACTTAAGGAATAAAAGATTTTAATTTTTAAAAGGTAGAAAATTTTATAAATAATCGATAGGGAGCAAGTTTGCTTTTAGGAAATCTTATTTTGAAATGCAAAGAACACTACCTGTACTTAGCAAGGGAACTTACTAAATGCTTTATAGTGTGTGGTAGGCTAGATTATTAATTTTAGTTTTTATTTTGTTATGGTGTTGGATGTATTAGTCCACTATTCATTTATAGTAGTATTATTAGTGCATAGTGCTAGACCTTCGTTTTAAATAAAGAGTACCGTAGGTGTGATATAAACGAATGAATTAATAACACTGAAATAGAGACTACTAACTTAAAAAATGGGGTTTCATTTGCATAATTGACATGTTATTTCATGCCAATCATTGACATTTATATAATAATTACCTCTAAGTAAAATATAAACGATATTTCCTCTATTAAACATTTCTATCATACGAAATTGTAATTGTTTTGTAGAAGAGCTTAATGGTAAAACTCATGTATCAAGTAATACAATTATAACAGAACAACAGCTATTCAATTGGTTTCTAAATTAAATAGAATTATAATAGTCTAGCAAAAAATTAATTTTGTTACTATAAAGTATATGAACTATATCAAATTATAGTCCAACCTACAATTTAGGTTAAATTTCACAACAGGACAATCATCAAGTGTCAACTCTTGACAAAGTTGAGATTAATAAATTACTGAGTACATAACTAAGATCCATTCTTGAAAAACATTAAATGGAGTCTTTATCAAAATTTAAATTTGCCTTTGAAGCTTACCATTTTTGTAGGTACCTTGCGTATCCAGTTATTGATCGAACCAAAGAAACAGTTGTGGCAATTGTTAGAAAGAAATTTACAGATGATATTAACCTAGGCTACACAGTTACAGTTTTATGCATTACATATCGTCCAGAATACTGTACCTGTGCATTGCTTACAATAGATTTATAGTAATGGCTTGAACATAAAAGCATGTCTGACTCAGCGCGCTGCTGACTCCCAGATCTTGCTTCTGACTCAGTCCAGCTGATACAGTCATTGATTGTTTTTGCGATTGCGTGGTACTCATAACTGACTCATTCATGAATAATCAACACTGGTGGAATGAGCTGTGTCTTAAGTTCCGTGGACTGTCTTTGAACACAATATCGGAAATAGGCGACACAACGGTTTCGAGACTTATAGGTGCTAAAGTGTTTAGGGAAGGATCGTTCTCAGAGGGCCGGATCAGGTAGTAACAAAACAAGCTACGGTTTCAGATAAGGGTCTGCTGCAAGAGGGTCAATCAAGTTAGAGTGACAGCCCAAACAGGGGGCCGTGCGCGGGCCTAACCTCAAAACATAAACCTGCCCATTTGCGGCGAACTAACCGCACAGTTTGCAAACTAACGTCAGCATGTTTACAGAGCAAATAGTTCCGTTCGGTGAACGGTGAAGTATCTCTTCAAACATGTCGAAATGAATGGATAGGAACTACGTGAGCGTGCCTAACCTTTAAACTAACATTGTCTTTTTGGATGACGTCTTTGGATTTTGGTTCAAAATTAAGACGGGTTTGTTTGGCCAAGGTTTTAATCGAATTGGTCATGGATTTTCTTGATGACAGGACGTAGGTTATACGTTTCTTCAATATCATAATATTGTTGGGAATTAAACGAATCTTTATTTGAATCTTTTCTGGATTAGCCTACGACAAGAGATCAACATTTAATGTGATAATATGCTGAAAAGGATTATGTTTGTTTTGTTAAATTCAAATAATATTATTGTCAATTGAATCGAGTAAACACCATTGCGAGCATGTTATGCAGTTAAAACAATTCCATTTACACAAATTTGAATACAGCCTACTAGTTTTGTCATTAAGCAATTAATATATTTTTTTTAAAATCTTTATATTTTTTCAGGCCATGTGGCTCTTAGTTGTTTTAAATTCGCGCAAGTATTTACCAACTGACACACAGCTGTTATGATGGTTAACGTTTAATAGACACACAATTTGCGCCGAATTAAGCGTCCCAGACGGACATCACGTAGACATCGTCACGTGTAACGAGAACATCAGCTAGATGTTTGACAATGTATAACGACCAAGCCCAGTTGCCGGTGACCAGCGGAGCGTGAGAGCGCAGTGCCCGGGGCGGCAAATCAACGTTCATTTTTTATTCAAGGGGTTAATCAACGGAAATGCGGTGCTCTGGTTGGCGGAAGTGGAGGGGAGGCGACTGCTACCGTGCCGCTACTGGGTATACGGTAGCCGTCCAATAGCTACTGTGCTGCGCGCCCCGCCCCCTGCTCCCATTGGCTCCTGGGCATCCGCGCTCTTATTACCGGGTACCGAAGGATACATTGCGTGGGACCATCCGTCGACCCTGGCCCGGGCGTGGGATAATCACATCACCGAATCCGGAACGTAAGTTGATGATTCTCGGTAATCAGGACCTGAGTGTGAGCCTCAAGGCGGAATTTGTAAGGTTATAAAATGTGATGCGTCACTCATTGGTGTAGACGAGGTGATATTGCCCTCAGGTTTGGGTGTATCCCAGTGTATAGGGGAATCCACATACTGTAGCTAGAGATCCGTGGGTGAGAATTGTATTTGATCACTTTCACGAGTGTAGGCCTAAATCCGATATTTGAAGATGAGTGTAATTTCTACTAGTAGGTAGCCGTGAGCGAATTCACATATCAGTATTTGCATACTGAAGTTCAGCCTCCGGAGTTTCATCCATTTGTTGGTAGCAGTAATCTTGGGCTGTGTATGCTTACTCGTTGCAGGAATTTTCTGGTGAAGCATAAATCAACTCGTAACTACCATATTGAAATTTGAATCCGTCGGAATATAGCACAATCATATTTTAAACGCTGACTTGTGGCGTTGCACGGGCAAAGAATGGGCGCAGAGTTTGTGATTCGGTCGCAATCACCTATCTCTTTGGTCGGGGTCGGGGCAGCAAACATGACTTATAAAAACCCTGAGTAAATCATATGGGATTTAATTTTAACGCCAGCTTATATTTTAATGGGATACTTGAAATGTAAAAGAAAACTACAAACGTAAAATTTGGCCCTAGTGTCTCAAATAATAAATTTACTGAACACTGTCTTCAAAATCTATAAACATAAAACACTCAATCAGAGAAATAAATTATTACTACAATAGGAAACTGTAACCAAAATTCTTCCTATTCCAAATTTCGTGATTTACTCCCTTCCTGATTCAGAAGAAATAAAAACTCCTTCGATTGCCGAAATTTATCATCGACCGTGTCCTCCCCGGTTAAAAGGGCTATTTAAATTCAAATGGGTTAATTTAAAATTTGATACAATCAGTAATGGATCGGGGACCGGCGGCATCTACAGTTGTCATTGTAAATAAATGATGCCACATATCAGCGCCGGGACTTATGGATTCGGGCCCGGAATGTGTATCGTGCGGCGAGGCGCTGCGGGGGCCCCGGCTGGGCCCGGTGGCTACCGGAGAATAGGGGCCTCGTCTGGGCCTTCGCTACTGGCGATATGCCCTTCGGCGTGCGCTCGTTCCTAATAATTCGAAACAAAAGGTTTTTGTTGAAATTACTCTGAACATAGCTACTTAATATTTTAGACAAACTTTAAATGAATCTCCTGTCTGGGAATGTATAATTTATGAAGTTTAGGTGAGAGAAGCGGTTAAGTTTGGTAAAAGGTGAACATTTAAAAGGATTTGTTTTAATTTTGACATAGGAATAATTTGCAACACAAGACCTCTCAGACATTGCATAAAATAATGCTTTAACCAGTTTCTTATTCTTCGCTGATGTCCGATAGCATTAATATCTTAGTTAAACACTACACTAATTATTGAAGTGTAGGCTCATTGGTTAATATGCACTCTCACTTTGACTAATAATAATAGATTCTGAAGACGTTTCCTGGGTTCTGACTTTAAAATTGTGAATTGTAGTGTATTATTTGTAAGGCTACCCTGGTGATCGTAGAACACATTCTTGGGTTCGTACTGTATTATTAATTCCCATAAAAATATAAAATAAATAATTTTGACCAAAAATATATTTTGATAGGTAAATAAATTCATTATATCTTTTTATTAATTTCCTAACCATTTTCCGAGGATGAAAAACGTTGAATAGTTCGGAAACTCTTAAGTATAATCACACTTACACCTTAAAACCTTTAAAGAAATATAACAATGGATAATTGTACTGTAATGATTGGGGTGGTACCCTTAGCTGGATTCCCAAGTATCTTAGAAAATGTACAAAAGAGATTTGAAAAAAGTTAATAAAGCTATTCAGAGAAAATAATCTCCATCTGTTACATAAATTTTAGCCAACTCTGAATATTTATAGTTATTAAGTAAACAGAGCTAAGAGCTCTAGGTAATGATTCCTTTTCTAATCGGCTCCTTTCAACGGATAATGCTCCATCAGCAGTAAACAGTAGTTTTTATTCAGGCGGCTTCCGCTTGGCAACTTTATTGTAATGAAGCTGTCCCCTGTTAGTTATTTAGGCAAGATGGGACAATCCTATTCCCTTTATTGGGGTTTGTCACGCTATTTGATGTTTTAGAATTAATATAATATTTCAATTTCCTTCATTATGCTGGAGTCTGGAGTAGAAACTGAGATCGGGTTGGAAATAACCGCCACAGAAATGTATTTAATTCCTGGGCTAAACCAGGCGAGTGTACCACACCAGTGTACATTAATTCTATAAACTAAAACTATTACGCATTTTAAATTTAATTTGCCACGTCGATACCTTTCATCAACCTTCTTTTTCAAAGGAAATCAATCTTTCCCCGTACCCTCGTTATTTCCTTACTGTCATTATGATCCATAGAAGTTGAAGTATGTATGTCAGTGCAGGTTGTATGTATCTCAGCCTGGATTCATTCAACATTTCTTGAAACATCGTTTGCCAACATTTTATACAACTCTCTTAAAAAACGTTATTGTACATCTTATTTCAAGTTTCCATCAATCCCCAAACTTTCTCGCAAAAGAAGGATGATATATTTTTATCTCATGCTGCGGGGCGAATAAACTAGGGGTTTCTCAAATAAACCTTGCAATATTTTCTCATACAAACTGAGTATTCTCATTATTGACGTATCCCCACAACCAAGGCTAATTTGCTACATTTGCAACGAGAATTTCGTGATCTAGATCTAGACAATGCCGCATTCAGAAAGAGTTTATTTGTTTTTGGGGTATTTTTTTGTTTAAATTTTCATCGACTGTCTCTTAACAAATAACTGATCCTGCTTCAATATTTTCCAATAGTACAAGTAAGTGATTTTGGCACGACTCTAAATCCTAGAACTAACTTATACTAAAATGTTATTGCACCAGATTCAATTAAGTGTTCCAATCAGCTCTGCACTTAGTGATTCGCGTAGCTCATCCTAACTTAACTCAACATTCTCATTTCAGATACCCAAAGAGCCTTGGATCTTTGAATTGACAAGACAAGAGAGTTTGCTGCGTCAGATATATGCAGTGCAAGACTCATACCATACTCCTAATTCCTATCTCCAATAGCTTCTCGCACTCCTAGCTATCCACTAATTTCGAACTTTCATTCCAGATCATTTGACTATTCCTGTGACCTTGGCAGTATGATAGCAACCTCTCGGCGAATCTAGAACGTTGTTCGTCTCCCAGTGTTCTCCCGGCAGCAGAGTGAAGACCCCTCACCATGTTCGCGATCATGCAAGTGGAGAGTGACGATAGGAGGGAGTTTCGCCGCAAGATGAGAACCAAGTGCGAGTTCGTCTGCAAGTATTGCCAGCGCCGCTTCACCAAGCCCTACAACCTGATGATCCACGAGCGCAGTCACAAAGATGACGTCACATTCACGTGTGAGGTCTGCGGCAAGACGTTCAAGAGACAAGACAACCTGAAACAACACAGGTACTGTTGTAACAGTAATCCCATTGCCATTGTGTTAATGTTCTTGCTATTATATAAGGTGCTGATAAACGTTATAGCGTTGTCTTTCATATACACCAGTAGTCATCTCATGTACATATAGACCTGCTGAAGCCAATTTGTAACTAAAAAGAATAACATAGTTAACGAGGCTCTAAAACTATATTTACTCCTTTAGGGGCTTATTGTGATCGTTTCTGTAACACAAAAGATGCTATAATTTACAATAAGGTTTCTTTTCAGTTTGCCTTGATAAAAAAAATCACGTATTGTCACACTCGGTCAGTGGTTCAGTTTAACTTTAAAGAAAAATGGACGAAAGAAAAAGATGGAAAGAAGATGGAAGAAAAATGAACTTTTTTTTAAAGTTCATTCATATTTAAAGAAAAATGGCTACAAATTTAACATGGGAATGAAGGGTCAAGTTCTATTTACAGTTTTAAAATTGGACAGTGCAATTGTTTGGTTAAATACAATAGATCTTTAAATCAAACGAGATGAAATAATAGGACTTTAAGATTACCTAATATTGATTTTTCGAGTACTATGTTCAAGTAAATTCAGTCAAAATATTTTACAATTGGAGATATTGGTTATTATGTTGTGGATCAAAAAGGCATAAATTTATTTGGATAATTTGCTGTAAAATTAATAGCATTCAATATCAATAGTAAAAGTGTTCACCATAAAACGTTGCGGAACCACAGGTGTAGCTAAGTTTTTGAAGACCCCTTTTATTTAGGCAAGTGGTGTGGATACATTGTTTTAGTATGAACCAATTTCTGAAATATAAATCCTATAAATATTTTAAATCAAGGCAATCGCAATGCCTCGATAGATATAAAAGTCTACTCCTTAAAGCACTTTGAAATATTTACGAATGACCACCAAATTGTCAAGGCTCCCGGATAATAGAAAACAGTCGTGTATTTCAAGAACACTAATCTCACAATTTATTACCGCCACACCCACCATAAACAGTCTAGATCATTTGCCACAAACTGCGCTCTAAATTTGTCTCGCACTTTTGAAAAAGGACAACCTTAAGCGTCGGCGCAACATTGTCAAAGCGGCGAAATTGCGCATAAAACATGCATAAGCGCTTGTCGAGTTCGGAGAAGTGTTTAACGCCTTACACTTTGTCATCGACTGCTTAGAGGAGAAATATCGGAATTTGAGTGGCGTGACAGTGCTAGTGTCACCCTGGCAGTAAAACCGCTCAACGTCACACAAGAGTGACGCAACATCGGTCACGTGACTGGTCGGTTCACACGCTCATCCGATGAAATTGAAAAGTGATTTAGATATACGGCACTTTTCTGTTATACCATACCGACCACACCTCAGGTTAGGTTAGGATAGTGATTTTAGTTGACAACATAACCTAACCTTGTGAGACAGTTGAGGTGTCTCACAATCCACACAATAAAGTACTATTTTTGAGTATGAGAAGGAGTGTCCGATGTTTCGGATGCGTCATAGTAATCCATCAAAGGCAACCTGCCCTACTGTTAACTTTAACTGTCGTCATCTGCCGAAGACCAAGATTTTATCGGATTTTATAAGGTTTTGTGTAGCTGTTTAGTTTTTCATTGCAGGTTATTTAGGTACTTAAATGGATTGAAGTTTTTTTTACTACAAATGCTAAATTTTGTTTATGACCAAATTCTATGAAGCTGCCTATATTATTTTTTAAGTTGACGGGTTTTTTCGAATTTTCCTTATAGGAATTACTATTACAGTAGGTGGCACGGCAAGTTCTAGCCCCGGGACCGATATACTTTTTCATTTTGATGTCCCTAGAAGTACATATTTAATACAGTGTACCGTATGTGCCCAAGATCACGATAACTCGGGTGATTTTGTTTCAATTTTGATGGAACTTGGCTTTGGAGGTGTAGAACGGAAACTTGGATGAGTTTTTTTGTATTTATCCGTAAAACATGGTAATACTCAATTTTCAATCCAACCATCGTAAAGAGTTTAAGACACAAATCATTTTGTACATCGAAGCGTTGTTGTAAAGTTAAAGGTTATGGAGAAAATTCCTAAAACAACTAACTATAAATTAAACAGTCCTGTATTAGTCATATGGAAAAAAACTGTTGTTTGCTTGTTTATGCATAACTGTTGACCAAATTTAACAAATTTAATTATTTTGCCCTATAGGCTTACTATTAACAGTTGGTCAAAAACAATTTTCACCTTCCCCATAGCTGCACACCTACTCGTTAAATCTTATGTTATTTGCATATGGAATAAATATGAGTTTTTATGGAAATAATTTAGTAAAACCCTAATCAGACGAAATGAAATTAATTTAGTCTGTAGGTTTGCTGCGGTGGGTTATTTGTTATTTTATTGGTTCATGCATTTAATTTGCTATCCTACCTGATGTTTGACATATTTTTAAATAAAGCAAGTACGGTATTCTAATATTTTGTAATCTTGTACAGTGTGATGTTTATATAATCTGATTTGATTAGCCAAACGTATCGTCCGATACTATTAAAAAACCGTTATTAAAATATTCTCATATTATTTTACATATCATTATAATTGCAGATTAGGCTTGTATTAACGCCAGTATTTCTAATCCAAATGTGTTGCCATTAGTTCATCTACATTTCATCGTAAAACACGAGCAAATTTATGAGTTAGAATTTCGACGTTTTAAAATCTAATACATTTACTTCATATTCTTTTTTGATGTGATACCTTATTGAAATTGTAAACTAATATACATATAGATAGAGGCATTGGAACAAACCGTAAGTTTTTGAACATGTAAATATTTTATACTAATACTGCTTAACTATAAAACTCTGCTACTCTTACTGTACAAAATCTTTTACTAATTTTAAACTATACCTTAAGGGTTCTTTTGGGTCTAAAACTCTCACCTTAACCAATCATTCACTATAATGTTGATTTAGCTAAATATTGAATATAGTACGACCAGACATACCACTAAAAAATACCTAACAATGATACGTGTAACAAGGTTTTATATAATTTGTTATAATATATTGTCTGATACGATGCAATTTATTTGCATCAAATTAAAAGCAATATTTAAATTTAGTGGGGATACAAATTACTAATAATTACTCAAACTTTTATAATTATTTTATACATTTTATAAACGTTTATAATTCAGTTTCCTAGCTTCAGAATGTGTTACACAAACCCCCTAACTTAATCGCTGATCATGAGGCATTTTACATATCGTCCTGACTATCAGTTCAACTGCATTTATTCAGTTACAAGGCTATATTCCCATTCATTACACATTCATCATTCACTCATCTGTGTCTTAAAATACGCAAATCTAGTTGTATTTGACAATATTAAAAAGCAGACACCTTTGTTGCTGCAATATTTGCATAAAGAAACGCAAGAGTCCTAACTAGTATTTCACGATTTATTATTGTGGTTTTAGGAGCAATGTTAAACTCTAGCTGCAACACTGTAGCTGCACTAGGAAGTCGTAGTTGTAGATTAACTTTACTTATTTCTGTTAGTGATTAATTACCATTCAAAATGTTGGATAGTGGAAAATGCGTTCTCATTAAACAATATGCCCTAACATGGCCAACATAGAACTTCATCGATGAAGTATTTCTGTGTGTGGTAGCAAGGATTCAAAACTATTAAGGGTTGAAACAGTTATACATTTACTATAAGAAAACATACAGCTGAAAGTGGTATGTTTACATCTTTATGCATCGTTAATAGTTTATACTAATTATTTGAATTATTTAAATTCCTATAAGATTAGTTGTAATAGCTACATTGTGGTTACAGCTCTAGTGATATACTCCTCTTGCTGTACAAAGTCTTTTACTAATTCCACTATGGTAACGGAGGCTTGCCTTTGACCGTAACTCAATGTTATAGTGATCTGGTTCTCCTCTGTTATAGATGTGGGTGGCGGTGAACCTCGGCGGCCTAACTGTAAGCCGATAATCATTCTTATTGCATGATGCTTACTTATTTTAATGCATGCGTTTACTATGTTCCACGTTCATCTTTTAGCTCTTCAACTCAGCAGAAGTGAAATGGCAACGATGATGATGACATACAGCTGATTTATGCATGAATGACAACGTCTACCAGCAGGAATACACTTGTAAATGGCAACAATGCTGGTAGAAACAGCTGAATTGTGCGTAAAAAAAAACAATTAATGAACGGTGATTCTCATGTTTTACTTCTCTATTTACAATGAATGAACTTGATAACAACTGTCCTGATAAAAACAGCTAATTTGTGCAAACTTGTGCAATCATTTAATCAACTTAAGTTACTATCCAAAATTTTGGATACAAAAACAGACATATCATCTACAAAATAAGGCTATAAACCAGCTGTATCAAAACGTCCACTGAATTGATTTCATAGAACATAGTTGAATATAGCTGAAAAACATACCAAAAAATTGTGCAACATCTAAATTCTTAGGCCTATTCTTTTCTATATTTTTCCGTGATATTATATATTCCGTTATATTACATAATATATGATGTAGTTTACATTTTTTAATGATTTCACTTTTAGTTTGCCTTGTCAAAACGTATTCGTGCCTTTGTAAAAAATAATCCTATCAGACAGTTTATAGCATTATTAATTAAGAATTCAACAATGGTGTTTTGAACAGATATAGAAACCGGAACTATTTGAGAACTGGAGGTGAACTCAAATTTCAAAATGGACAAACCAATCTAAAATATGAACGTGGGACATAGAATAATCTAGACCTATCTCTAATCTAAAATAAGATTTTACTAACATTCAGCCGAGGAGTCAAAAACACAAATCTTAACGATTGGTGTCACATTCTGGTGAGTTTATAAAAACATTGTCAAGTAAATAAAATAATTAGAGTGCAACTTAAGTTGAAAACAAATATATAGATTTGATCTGCAATTATTTATGTCCTGACTAAAGTGTACACTAAATATTTCTGTTTATAACATTGGCTTGTTACTTTAAGCTAGACATACTTGCATTTAGTTAATATTTGTACATACTTTAGTATTTGAATTAGTAGTAATATATATTAATACAAATTCATGTAGAAGCCGAGTGGCTATAGTGCTCACCTTCAAATATGAAGGTCGCTGGTTCGATTCCAAATGAGATCGTTACCAGACCCAGATATCATGTATTTGTCATTGGGCAATCAATGAGTTATTTTCATAACAACCAACAGGTCGACGTTACAAGATAGTTACAAGATCAGGTTTTGGTCCGTCCTCCCACAAAAACGTCAATTGATGCTATTGTTGTAGATAAACACAATAAAAAGTTGATATTGCTGGGAAATGTGTAAGAACTGTTTAATATAACCTGAATGTAAATTATTCAAACTACTGTAAGATGCGGCAGACGCCAATTTACGAGGAATATATGTTAAATATAATACACCTTTATTAAGTTTAAGAGGGAAGTAGAAACTCGATTTATTCTATTTGTGATATAAATATAATAAAGAATTTAGAATTCTAGTGTAAAAAAAAAACATATCAGTTCCCATAAACTGTTGATCAAAATGTAAGCTACTACGATACGATTGAGCAAACCTCTAATTAAATCCTATATTTTAATACGAGCTGTCTGTCTGTATGTCTGTTCGTCTGTAATATATATCTCGAAATCAAACGGAAGGATTTTATAAATGGTTTTTGATAAAGGATTTTGACTAAATTTTGGAATCAGGAACTTATAGCCATAAAAACGTGATTGATGATAGCTACTACTTCGGGGAAATTAATCTCGCTATACAACTCATTAAAAAATTAACATTGGCCTTATTGGTTGCCAAGTAACTATGTTGACACAAAATAACAAGGAAAAAGTAAACAAAAGACTTGTAACATGTGTTTATAAAATGGCATCCACAGTATACTAGCAAATTACAACATACAGTACAAAGGGAAAAACATCAGTTGTAACTATTGAGTAAAGATTATACGGTAGATTACTCGATATAGGGGAAAACAAATCCGATCAAATACTGATGATGTTACTTAGCCCTCTCCCACCAAAGCCTAATCCTCGAAGTACTGAGGCAGTTTATTGTTAGTAAACGTTGGTTTAGAAGTGAAATAAGTATCTAAAAATATTGTATTTATTTTGTTCAAATTATAGTTTAAACAATTATTTATAATAAGCTGTTTTATATTCACCAACTGTCAAAAAGACGTTTTTACAAAGATAGGCTATAAAACGACTTAATATTTCTTCAGCGAATCAGGTCATCCAACATAAGAGAGTATTTTAGAGAGTATGTTCATACTGAAGTTTTACTTTTACTTAAAGAAAGATTCAAGAAATAAATCACACTCCTTACATAAGTTTTTGTTATAAATAAGTATGATCATAATTGTTTATCCTACTTTTTTATTGCATACTTTTCCAGAGTGGTTATTATTTCAGGGTTCTAATGTCTATGGTTTGTAATTCAAATATTTTTTCATAAATTATAAAATGTGTCTGTTTATTATATTGTTTTAACAATTAAACCTAATTAACCACAGCCGAGCAAGGCTTGGCCCCCCGGTACTTAAATATAATTTAATAAACAATAGTTTACTTAGGCCTATTAATATACAGTACTTGACTAATCATTTTTTGCATGAATAATTTGATATAAAACATGAAATTCCTATGAAATGTTTTTAATAGTAATACTTTTTACCTAGAAATAAAGGACAAAGAGATCTGCATACAAAATGATTGCTTGTAGCAAAATGTGTAAGAAATCTGTTCTAGAAAGTATTGATTATAATAAATAACAATAGTACTTTTCCATATTCAGTTAAGTTGGCACAAACAAAATGCTATTGTTTTGATATTTAAAAAAAGTGTATAAATATACATAATGCTTGTAATATCGCGCATTAAAATTAATTATTAAGAATTTTACTAAAGTCAATAATTTGTGTACTACGATTGACTTTAAGCCTAATATTCAAAGTTAAATATTACTTACAAAGTAACCTTAAAAATAGAAGTCACAGATATGAAACTGTTAATCACATAAATAGTAATATGCAAAAAAACCTTAATTTCGCGTAGAAAATGAAAACTAATTATGGGTTTGCTAAATTCCCTACATGTACTTGATTCTAGTATTACATATTTATTTATCTCATAGTAAATTATTTTGCCCCGCGTTTTTTACTAACCTTTACATTCATTAATTACATCCATCGATCTTGATATAATTCAAATCATGAAGTTATTTAATTAACATAGTCAATTTTTCCAATAAAACCGGCTAAAGTTATTAACTTTTTTAAGTATTTAAATTTGAAAATGAAAATTTTAATTAGTTTTTCAAGACACAAGATATATATAATTTTTTATATATAATTTATATATAATTTTTTATATATAGAAATCCAAATAGCAAATACAAATTAATTTCATAAATTTATTGCGTTTGATTTAATATCTTGGGAGCGTCATCTATGACTTGAATAAAATAGCGATACATTTGAACGTAACAGCTCTAGCGTTTGGGATATAGTCTGTAATGTGAAGTGAAATTTCAATTAATTGTTGTACGGTAGAAAAATAACTTAAATTGAAATAAGCTTCTTTAATAACCTTAGCAACGACTAAAAAAATATATTTTTTGAAAACAATAAAAGTGTTAAAACTATGAAGCTACTTTAACAAGTGGTTGCCTGTCATGTTTATATGATCAAACTGCAAATGATTTCCAATACTAAAGTAAGTAGAATAGTGTGATAACCCAGTACTGGCATTACAGCTGGTTCATTAATTCATTTTTGTATTTTAAAATGCTTCTCCTAATTATTTGTATTGATTACAGTTAATATTTCAACTAGATAAACATTAAAATCATCTAAGGTTTAGCGCAAATCCAAATTTTGTAAGTGTTTATTTTCTTATCAGATTTAGGATGATTATTTCATTCTAATGTTTTATTTTTATGGTAATATTTTTTTCAAATATCATTCTACAAAGCACTTAAAGGTTGTTGTTTTTTTCTTATAAGAATCAGGATGGTTATTGTGATCTAATATTTTATTTATGGGGGTATTTTTATCAAGTAACATCCTACATATACGTACTAATCGTATACGCTGTATACAATTAGTAATGTTGTACTAATTGTATACGGTATAATTCTACATATAAGTACATAACATTCTAACTGCTACGTACTATGCAACTGCAAGTACGTTGCAGTTAGACCCAAACCTGAACGTCCAGAGTGAAAGCTCATTTTATACTACAAATTGTTCAATGTTCAGTACGGTCTGCATAATGTGTTGGTAAAACGTAAAACAATAATTTTGACATCTGTAGTGTTATAAATGGGCACATTCAACGCTTGAAATAGTTATTTGTGTAACTAGTGGTGAAAGTGGCACTTTGCTGTACACGAGAGCAATGTTTACTCGCCTGCGGCTCGTGCCTTTTTCACTCGTGTTACACATTATATTTTTCCTACAGTCACTATAAAGCATATAAATAATTAGTCTTTCAAACACTATACAACACGTTTTCAGGTTCAGCTGACAACACAAATGGTGCCCTAGAGAAAGTAGTACCCGCGGTCCGTATCACTCCGCTATTTTTCCTCGGCAAGAAATGTGCTCCGCGTTTTGAGAATATAGTTCCGTATGTTTTTGTAATTTGAAGTGGTTTCCGCGCCTAAAAAAATGCTTTAAAGGTATTTTCTTGTTTATTAAAATTGTAGGAATGTTTTAAAAACGTTTAAAAGAAAAGTCCAGAAAGTTCAGAAATACCGAAACTATAAACACGAAGTGGTTATAATAGTCAATCAGCTGCTCATAGTATTATTATCTTTAAGTGTTGCCAACCTATTTCCAAGCGTACACGGATTACACTACGTGTATAATAGAACCACGCTGTTTTGTGTTGTTTCGTTGGAATCCTGATGTGCAGCAAAGTATAAACCGTACGACAAAGTATAAACCGTACGGAAAAGTATAAACCGTACGGAAAAGTATAAACCGTACGGAAAAGTATAAATATGCAGCAATTAGCAGCTTTCTGTACTATAAACAGTACAAGGAAGCCAACTTTGTCGGGTGACTGTAGGAAAATATAATTTGACTTAATTACTATGGAAACTATGTTTTTTTGTACTGTGTTTGTGTTTTGTTAGGCTGCATTGTGACTTTAGTGTCCTTTGAATGTTAGTGGAATGCCCTTGAAGGAACGACAACCACGCCGGACCTCACTCCTTTCTCGATTGGCACTACTTTAAAAAAGAAGTTTCCACAGGCCCACACTGTTAAATCTTGTTCTAAAGAGTATATTAAGGATCAATTGACCCCCACACTATCACATCATGCAATCAAGCTCAATCAGACGTTGCAGATCTTGCAATAAACTGCCAACGGAAAGGAAAAATGAGGAAATAGTTATTTGTGCAACTAGTGAGAAAAGTGAGCAATTGACTCACTCGAGAGAAATCCTTACTCATGAGCCGTAGGCGAGTGAGGAATGGCTTCTCGAGTGAGGCAATTGTACTTTGAACTCGAGTTGCACATTATACTTTTCCTACAGTTACCATAAAACAAATAAATTTGTGAAGAAACATAACCTATTTTTACACAGAAATGACCTTTTAATATAACATTTAATGTGAAGTTACAAATACAACAGTACAACAGCTGACCAGCCGATTTACAGCCAGTGCTGCCAACGCATTTCGCGCGCATACGACGTTGCCTGCATGTTACGCGCTCACTATTTCGTGCCTTCACGTTGCAAATCTGGAGTGAGACAAAGTAATTAGAGTGAGACAATGTTAATATTGTCTCACTGATGAGCGAATTGGCCACTTTGCTTTCTCAAATCAGTGATAGAACATGTACATTGTTAGGTAACTGTAGGAAAATAAATTTGTGGATTGATTTACTTTACTGGACTAAAAATGGTTCTTCTATGGGATAGGTTCATACAACTATAGCAACTTGTGCTAAGAACGTATAGACTTGTAAAAGCTATGTGTCGAACTATTCAATCAAATCTGTTAGAAATATAGAATAAAAATGGCGTTTTTTACTATTAAAAAACAAGATACTAATTTCAAAAATCATACAAGAAACTAACATTGAATAAAACCCAAATATTCCAATGGTACACTATTGGAATATGGTCGTCCGACACAGTGTTCGGATGGCCGATATCGTAGGGTGGGTGAGAGGCCTGAGTCCCATCCACGACGTCTACATGTAGGCTGGTAGATGAAAGTGGAGGTATAAAGTCGTGACTGAAAGTGAGAGAAGATGACATTTTTATCTAGGAAAAATACACAGTTTAGACATTTGGAAGATTCTTTTTACCAACAAGAGTTGTGATTATTGAAAAGGGGTGAGTTTTACGTTCCTTCAAGGACGTATTACTAATATTCACAGGTCATTAAAATCACAATTCTTAAATTGATTTCATAGTTTAAGTCATATATTTCAAAGCATAAAAAAATTGAAAAAAATTCTGCTTTTCATCTATTATAACCAGGTGCTCTCTGATTATAACTTTGTCCGTTCACTAAAGCAATATTATGACGTTATCAATCTGTTTGAAATTTATCTGGACTTATTTTTTCAAAGAATGTGTTTTTCAAAATAATTTTGGAATTTTTCGTGAAGACTAAAAAGTACAATTTTTTCAATTCAACCCCCTCGTCACCACTCTAACGAACCCGACGCACAAAACTTTGTAACCTTGCACGACACAATACTAGAACTACATTGAACAGTTTGGAGTCGGAAGTTAGCTTTCACTTTCGATCTTGAGGTTAGGCTGTTTTTTATCAATTGCGTCGTACTATATGCATTTCATATATCTCAACTAATCACAAAATTCAATCCCGTGCTACGACCTTTCACGTGTAATCAAGTTTCTAAACAATAAATATTAAATATCCTTCGTATTTCCAGGACGAGCCATAGTCCTCCCTACGGCATCCGCTACTGAGTCCTCGGACTGCGCCAGCACTTGATTTCGCCGAATGGCCACGTCAGCACAGTGCTTCAGATACAGTACCAGTGCTAAACCACAGACCTAGTGCTGATTTTGAGTGCCATTTCTCCCACAGTGACTGACTAACAAAGTGTATCACTTGACACCTCGCAACCGATGCTGACTCCAAGGACTATCAGCGCTTCAGCAGTGAATCAACAGCTGACCCCCTCGACGTTCCTGCCCGACTTTCCTTTTTGTAACTTATTTTGTTAGTTTTAACGATGTATGATAGTTTGTTTCGTGTAAATAGTGTACGGTGGTCGATCATTGTGCATTCAGAGATATACGAGTTATAATTTTGAGAAAAAATATGGTTTAAAATGGTTTGAAAATTAATAACTTTGGTAGGTATAAATTCGTTAAAAAGTATTTTTGTAAACTATTCACTAAATGATAATTTATCTAGCAATTTTGAGACAGAAGTAAACTCTGATGTACAACATTGAATCGGCCACTGATATTTAAACAAACTACGAATAGTGTTAACCTTCGTGCAATGAATGTCGATTATTTATTTCTGTAATGAACGAGAATAACGCCTCGAGCATCACAAACTTCTACTCTTTTTGTAATCTTTTGTGGTTTACTAAATCATAAAGGTCTAAAATACTATGCATTACTGAGATGTTGGAAAACTATTTTGTATAACCTTTGAGACTTAAACACGTAAATGCATTAGATCTTTTTACAACTTTTATCGATGTGTAGATACTTTAAATAGACACATACTATGAAAAATACTTATGTACAACAATTTAATCCAGTTTTTAACGTATTTCTTTAATAAAACACAATACTTAGAGATTTTTTGAAAATATTTCTAAAAACAGAGTAGAAGTGCGATAGGTCGGTAGTTTGCCAGCCTCGTTGTGATGCCGAGGTGTGTGTTCCGTAGGGTTCGTCCCAGCGGCATACTGCGGCTTTGTACATTGTATATAAACACTCTGTTACCACTTACCTTCGACTTGTCTTCCTTTCCTGTAGTTATACAACTTAGAATACACTCATTTGCATTCTGTAGATCCAGCCTAGTCACAGAGTAAACTTTTACATGACCTTACTGACATACAATACTCCTGTGGTTAGCTTTTAAAGTGACTCTGTTTTACTTCAAGCGTTTAACCATAATTCAAAGTACATAGTTATGGATGGATATAAAAAATAATTCGTGGAAATTAAATTGTTGAAAATTTCACCTCTAAAGTTATATTTTACACGATATTGCTTTTAGAGATGATTTCATTTTAAATACCAGTTATAGTTTCGAGCTTTTGACGACACTTAATCTACTTTGTGGACGGACTGGATGAAACAGAATGTACTTACTTACACATTTAATCATTATTATAAGTACATATTCATTAAACCAGACAAACAGTGCCATTTGTGATTTCTTTACAAGAATGATGCTTTCTTTGCAGATTTTAAAGGCTTCATCATCGACTTCTGCAAATTTTGCAGACCATTTTGCCATAGCAGTTTTACTGAAAATCTATGTTTGCCTAAGTCACTGCATTGTTTGTTAGACCAAATTGTTTTTGTTCATTTTGTACATAAAAGAGTTTATTAAACGAGCTTAAAATCTAATCTTGTGTTTTTATATCCTTATTTTTATATATCTTGTCAAATGATGGTTATTTGGTAAGTTTGAATCTCACTTTTCCTGCTTGTATCATCTACATTTTGGCTGGATAATTGATGATTATTATGTGATTATTTTAAGAAATAAACTGCTAGATCATGTGGACTATTTTTAAGTACAAGTACGTCGTTTCAATTGTATGAGTAGCGGATTTATTGATGCCAAAACTTAATCACACATATAAAGATAATTTATCAAACCTTTACTTCGTGATTTGAAGAAAGCCGTTAAGAAAAAATTATACACGTTTCTATAACAAGAAGATAGTAGAGAAATGGAGTTATTTTGTCAAAGAAAACGCAATTGCACATTAATTATCACATTAATTAAAAGATTGATGAGTTGATTACATGAATTTGTTACACAAATTTCGAGCCTTTTCCTAATTAGTGAAATCCATAATGTACTTGATTTTTATTTATTTCCATTTATACATCATAATGTTTTAAAAAATATTTAAAAAATGCTATTTACGCTACAAACGTGATAAACAATCGGATTTTATAGAAGTCGGTATTGTTAATTGCAAAACCCCATAAAGGTTATTTAAGTAACGTATTTAACTGATAAGTGTTTTAGTTTTGGTAGTGTGTCAAGACGGGTTGTTGATTTTTTTAAATTTTATTTTAAACATAGTCTTTAGTGTGTTGAGTTCGTTTAAAACGTCCTCAAAACTTGAATGATCATGGTAGATTAAAAATCTCATTATCACGTTACTGTACAGAGTTAACTTATTTTTATTTGGTGTATTCTGATTTTTTTATCTGATTGTGCAAACGAACGCTAACAGAATTACAGGAAATAAAATACACATCAATTTTTTTTGTTGATGCTAGAGAATGTATGCATTAAGATAGCAACATACTGAATAAGCATGTATGTTGCACGGGCAGAACAGTAGTAATAAACATTGGATAGTCAATGGTATTATACATTCAATTGTCTTTTTATCATGCGACAGAACGCATATAGACAGGGGCCATCTTAAAGATGGCTTATTAGCTTAGAAAGTAAGGCTACAATACAAATACAGTATGAAATTTAGTACACAAATCCTTTACATTCCTTAACATTCTAAGTTTGATACAAAATGTAAACATTTAAGATTTTTGAAGAATAGGTATTAAACTTTTATTTAATCGTTGATGTACAAACGCATTGAATGGATTGTTAGAGCTTGAGTGTATAACATAGACATCAGAAGTTTCGATGGGTGTGTTACATTCATGGTAAGTTACAATAGCCTGATTTCACTTACCATAAGCTACTTCATAGGCTTTTTAGTTCATAAGTATCTCTAGACTATGGAAAGTAATATATCTGAAAAAAATCAAAAGTTTGAATGTAAAATCCTTCTGTAAGTCTCATAACTTAACAGCCCCTACAACAGAGTAAGTATTCTGAACTATCAATTAAGTCTAGTGTACTACAGTTCTCCAAAAGATTTTGTTTAAATTTCAGTCCAATTCTTTAAGCAAAGGATTTTTATAGCTCTTACCGCTTCATCGATTCCACCAACTTGTGCCATTGAATAATAGAATGAAATATTGGTATTCGGTTGTTGATATTATGTTAAAATAATAGGCCTATAGATAGCTTTTTACTGATCGTATTTTATTAAGGCAACGGCCTCGTCTACATAAAGAAGTAGGGATATTTCTAAAACAAAAACCCCACTGTGATGGATTACTCAATAGATAATATTGTTCTCAGCCATATACCTTTATTTTATTTGATTTGATTTATGCTTCCAACGGTACACACCAGTTTACAAAAAAGTTTTAGAGAAAAAAGAAAATACAACAATTGACAATTTAAGTTTAAAACACAATAATAACAATATATAAAGCAAAACATCTCATAAATACATAAGTAATATCAATAAGATCTGAAAGAGCTATTATATATATATAACAAGTTATAATGATCTGAATAAATAAATATCAACAACAATAACAAACAATAAGTAACAACAACAATACATGGCTCTAACGACCTTCAAAGTATTACAAAACATCAAGAGGGACAAAGAGAATTTTTTGGAACTACTATACTACTACAGATATAGCTGGTTGAAGGAGCTTCTAACTGTCATCAGAGAGTCGGAGAAGTCGACAGAAGCTGCAGTCTCTCCACTAAACCGCAAAAGTCTAGTCAAGCCGCTGTTGTAGGCATAATATGCAATCCTCCTACCGAAGACAGCCCTGGATCTGGCACCTCTGGGGATGTGGAAGTCGATCATGCTCAGGAGTTCAGAGCAGTCCAACATGCCGTTGACTAGCTTGTGAAGAAATAGCAGGTCAAGCATTTGTCTTCTGGTGCTGAGAGATGGAACATTAAAGTTGGTTTCCAGTTCCATGATGGGTGCAGAACGATAATCACAACCAATTCGAGTCCCCAACAACCTGATAAAACACTCTTTGACATGAGTTATACAGATGTTCATTTTAAACCTAAGTGAAAATCACTAATACGTTTTTATACTAGAGCCCGTAATGGCCTTCTTCACAACGTACGACGAAGCGTCGTTGTAGCTTGTAGTAAACGTTGACCTCGAGTTTTGACCCCAATGCGCGAAATATGCTTCTTCATCTAATATATTTTTTACATAATCCCCCCCCCGAAATATGCTAATTTACATAATATAGCAACACAGAAAACCATCACCATGATGCCATGAACTTAGCTGTGACAGATTGTGATAGTTTGACGCTTTAATACCTCCAGTGAAAGAAGTCCTGGATTAATGCTTCTTTTTCCATTCCATCCCAATTTTGTTCAATTCTAATCAATGTAGTTTAAAAATCCAATCCTGCTTCTCACACACAAAAATTACACTATTAAAAAATTAGGTATAACTGATGTGTGTGGATTTAACAAGTACCGGTAACTTAAATGGACGACTGTAATCAAGCAGCACAAATGCATGCAATGATTTATCAGACGTTCTCAGTTTGTACGCGCAGAAAAAAAATCGCTTATACGAGGGCATCAAGTTAGAGCAGTCTTCGAACCACAAAAGTTCAGCACGTGATGCTATCAAAATCAACCACTTTGTTTCATTTTCTAATGCCTTTAGGACCTTCAATGACATAATGCATTTCTGAAGTCAAACACACGACCCATCACATAGTTTCCTCCCCACCGCCTGAATGAAGGGGGCCGTGAGCCGGATAATGTTATTCTAGGTATTAAGTCTAATAATTCAGTCTGAATTGTGAGACGGAGGAGTGAATGGAGTGAAAGATTTCGCCGGTCGTGTGGTAGTTAATATTCATGCGGGAGACAATGGGGCCCAGGAAGTGGGAGGAGAGGGGGCGGCCCCGGTGACCTGTGCGACAAATTGTGGTCTGGAGATGTGGGAGGCAGTGGAACCTCGGCCACGGCCCACGCCACCAGTGAATCGCTAACTTTAATTAACCTATTGATCGAGAAAGCCACGTCTTCCGAGACCAACTGCCTTGGAGATTGATAGTGTTTGATACTTTGTAGTGTTTCGGTTCCCAAATATTCAAGATCCCCTTCAGCATTTGAATGCGAGAGCAGGCCAACTGACTTGGACGTCGGTGGCGCTTGATCATTTGAGGTGTTTAAATTTGAAATTCGTTCAAGACCTTATTTTAAGTTCCTGAACGCGAGTGGTTTGGCACAAGACAGATTTAGTTGTCAATTACCAGTGGTCAATTATTATTGTAGGCCACTATCAAATTCCCTCTATAAACAGATCAAGTTTTGCCTTCTTGAACCTAATGGAAGAGATTTTGCTTCATCATAGGGTGTATCTGAAATGCATGTAAATATTTCAAACTGTCTATGCTCTTGCCAAATTGCACCTGAGAGTACCATATAACTTAAATGCCAACTATAGCTTAAGTTGCTCCTCCAATTGATACAGGGTGGCGCAGATGGATTGGGTGGTTTTAAAATACTTGTCAAACTGTCAATTTTAAAGGTATTGGATTGAAATAAAGTGCAAATCGTGTAGTTACAATGGAAGTTTATTGACAAAAAATTTGTTAAGTTAGTTTTTAAAAATTACATCCATCAAATGCCTTTCTTCTCGAGCGACGCATTCTTGGAGTCGGTCCTTGAGGTTCCGCATTGCTCGCTCAAGCACATCACCATGAATTGATGTGATTTCGTTGTGAATTGCAGCCTTCAACTCCTGAATGGTCCGGGGTTTGTTCATGTAGACCCTTGCTTCAGGAGTTGAAGACTGCAATTCACAACGAAATCACATCAATTCCTGGTATTGTGCTTGAGCGGTCAATGCGGAACCTCAAGGACCGACTCCAAGAATGCGTCGCTCGAGAAGAAAGGCATTTGATGGATGTAATTTTTAAAAACTAACTTAACAAATTTTTTGTCAATAAACTTCCATTGTAACTACACGTTTTTCACTTTATTTCAATCCAATACCTTTGAAATTGACAGTTTGACAAGTATTTTAAAACCACCCGATCCATCTGCGCCACCCTGTACAAGGCACATTCTAAAATAAAGCTGAAGAACAGTATGAATAATACTAATAAGAGTATCAGGATTTCAAATTCTGGATGATATTGTAAGATTATTGTTGACCTAGATGCTTCGCTCTAGTATATTATTGATTCTTTATCTCCCATTCAAATTTTCCAAGGACTTAAAGACGGCATTTAAACCCTCGGGCATTGTATCTGATCTAGAACGCTTTGTGATTCTTTGTGAAGCTATCATGGGAGACGAGTCCACTGAGGATGCCTTGAGGCACCAAGGTATCTTCTCCAGAGCATTTATCCTTTTCTGACCTAGGTCACTGTAGCCCTTTCACCAATCCTACTGGAACTAATAGAACCGTTAGTAATGGTATTCTATTTCAAGAAATAATTGGTACCTGCACAACACTTTCCAGGCCTTGTTGATTTTGATAGTTTTTGCATGTGTGATAGCCAGCCCACTGCATACG